AAGCCGAGGAGAGAGATGATAAGTTGTGGGTTGCTTCTCTGATGATGCCTTTTATAGGAATTTACAATTTGTGATCAAACGGCTAAACTTCAATGTGCTTTTGAATTCAATCCAAGAGTTGGATGGTGGTGAGGAATGACTTGGAATCTTGTTAACGAGACTTCGAGTTTACATTTTTCAATGTACTTTGAAAGGCAAAAATCAAAATAGGAATACAAATTTAAACAAAATACACACAAGAATTGTAGAGTTTAAAATGTAGGGTATAAATGATTATTACAACTATAACACGGTAAACTCTCAAAGTGTAAAAATTGAACCAATCGACCCAGAGCTTCTTCAACACTATTGATGGAGTGTCCTATGATGTTGAGCTCAGATTTGTGCCACAACTGATCATACACTGTCGTCCATAGAAATGACAATAGATATACCGAGAGAATCTGTCGGAAGCCAACAAGAATTTCGTCGGAGATATGAAATGCTTCCACTTAGTTACCTTTTTATACTTTCTCTCTATTGTTATGCTAAGTCCAAATGATCCAAGTGAAAAAGTTTTGTAATTATAGAGTCAAAACCATTTAAATTCAAATTCAAATATTGTACTATGGTTAAGATGAATGCGACATGATCAGAAAAGGAAAATTGACCACAAGATCAATTAATTTGTGACACGTGGATGAAGTGATCCACCTCAAAAGATCATATAATTTTTCGGAGAAATTTGATCGACCAAACCTTTTAATGAAATGTTGATTAGGTAGCAGTGAGTAACACATTATATATAAGCTTGAAATTTAATTTTAAATAAAAATTCTTTAGGTGTTTCATCTTTCAAAATGTCCGTATATGTACATTCAACAATTTAACCCACTGCAAAAAGTACATCATAGTTTATCAAAATCTGCTCCATAAAATCAATGTAGCCAAATATACTATACAGGAAAGAATTACTAGACTTTTTGGAGAATGGCCGATACAAAAGCAGCCACCGGGTAGTCAAATGGTTGCGTTACATCTATTTATTTATTTTTTTAGATTTTCATTTTTCAAATTGAGAAATTGAGAGTGATGACTTTAATCAAAGAAATTGTAATCTTCGATTGTGAAAATCTTTAACATTCTACATGTCTGCAGCATCCCTAAGCACAGAAACATGAACTCAAATATTAAATCTGTCATCAAAGTGAGTTTCATGTAGGACCAGAGTCCGGCAGTTTAATACAAGATTTGAACTTATATTTTTCCCTTCAAGCTGTCCAACACTATCTGATCCTCGCCTTCGAAGAAGATTTTGTGCTCACCAGATGTAGGACACAATCCTTGCATATACACGGTCAACCTTCCGATGCTGGGGGGTCCTATGCGGACTGCAATGTCACCTGCCCGGTGGCTATTTGATCATAATCAACACAGGCCTCAGGGGTGTCTTCTTCGCTAGGTGGAACGAGCTGCCAAAAAAGTTGCAAATATGTGTCCCACTCGTTAAGAATGCTGGCACCTTTGCTGCTCCCAGTTTTTTCCTACATACCAAAGTAAATGAGGGTATATTATGAGTTATGCAGCAAGATGATTCAATTTCATGAATAACACGAGTTAATAGAATCCCGAAGATTGAGTTGCAAAAATAACAATGACATAGTGACACTGTTAGAAAAGTAGCATGTCAGCAAGAAGGATGTTAATATCAGAACCAGCCGCAAAAACAGAGAAGACCGTTCCACTCTTCCCCCGACCTCAAAGGATGGTTTACACAAATCACGAAACCAAGTGCATCCGGCTCAAGAATTCAAAAAATGTTAAAGTGTAGAAGGCACAATCTTGCAAGGCAATTTAGGTCAACTTACAACATGGGCTTCAATAAGGCTCTTAAGCTGCATTTGGCCAACGGGAGCAACCACCCTCTGGATCTTCACTATTTCCTTGTTCACCTGGTAACAATTTTGCGTAGAATGATTGAAGATTATAAATAATATAAGGATAACTACATCCAACCAAACTGAAAAATGGAGAGCAAAATGTTCAGATACCTCAATGTTGACTTTAAAACAATTTTTTCAAACGGTCAAACATTGTCCCACAAAAGGTAAAAGGGTCAAGGGTTGCACCGTCTCTCCATAAAAATTCACAAACATAAGACAGTTTTCATTTTTTTTAAATATTAAAAAATAATGAACGAACAATCAAACATTAAGGTTTTACGAAGTCAAAGATAAATAACATGGCATCATATATGTCAGAGCTCAATGGTTTCTAAAGTGCTACTGGGCAACCAGGTCAACGTGCCCAATTTTTTAAGAATGTTTTTTAGGCTATAATCAGTCTGGTTTCTGGTTTTCCAAATAAAACAGGCCAGGTCCGACCAATTCCCAAGCACTGCTTTTAAGTTAAAATATTTTCATATCACTCCATTGCACGTATTTCCTACAGGCAGAAAAGTGTGTTGCCACAAACCTTGGGGATGAGAGTATCGTCCTCATCGAGAATGTAAGCCAAACCTCCAGTCATCCCGGCTGCCACATTTCGTCCCACCCTGGCAAAAGCAAGACAAAGTGACTCTCAACTATTGGAAGTTCTCGTATATATACTTTTCACAAAACAAAGATGACGTCGGAAGAGGATGCTCACTTTCCAAGCACCACCACACAACCCCCTGTCATGTACTCACAACAGTGGTCTCCCGTCCCTTCCACTACAGCTTCAGCGAGCGAGTTTCTCACTGCAAAACGTTCGCCAGCCTTTCCTCTAACAAAGACCTGTCCACCTGTGGCTCCATACAAGCAGGTATTCCCTACTATGGTGGCATCCTCAGGGCAAAACCCAGTATTTTCAACAGGAACCACGACCAGTTCACCTCCAGCCATACCCTAAAGATAAACTGATCCATAAGCTACTATAAAGTAACAAGATGACAAAGTTCTTATCATTAAGAATTTCACAAAGCCACACTCAAAAAGCAACAATTATGGAGATACTGATTCAAAGCAAGCGAGAAATATTACGATTCATCTGTAATAGAACGGAAATACCTTCCCCACATAGTCATTAGCTTCTCCAACAAGTCGGATGTTCATTCCAGGTGTCAGAAAACAGGAAAATGACTGCCCAGCACTCCCTATGAATCTACATGAAAAGAAAAGAATGCATCTTCAGTTTCGAGCAAAGCTATTAAACAGAGAGGTAAAATTTGAAAGAATATATTTTCTTTTCACAAAGATATATTACGTTATATTCAGCTGTCCAGCAAAACCAGTGTCTCCATATTTCTTTGCAATTACACCTGCAATACGCCCACAAACTGCCCTATCCACATTGTATATTTTTGCAGTTTTATTGACCACCGTTTCAGTCTCAATCGCCTCTGAGATCTATATGTAGAAAATTATATATTTGGATCATTAAGATAGGGTAAAAAAACATAGCTTTATACAAACAAATAATTCACAAGAAAAGCAGCAGGAAATTCTAACAATTGTATCTCATTCATCAATGACATGTTACCTAATTTTTTGGTTGCAATCAATTACCAAACATCAACGATGTGCAAAAATATTATTATGAGTTCTTCTACTAACCATTCATCCCGAACTACTATTTTTTTTTTTTTTTTAATAATAAAAAAAATGGCATCTTCTTTTTCTTAATGCACAAACATGAAGTTCAAAAACTATGCACAGTACTGCATCAAGGAAACTATATGTTACTTATAAACTACCTGAACAATAAATGAAAAATCTTTAATCATTTACTGTCATCCTATAAAATTTATCACAAAATCCTTTAAGGTATGAGAATGTGACTTTCTGAAGAAATTATACAAAGACCTGTTTTCCCTAATTCTCTGAAGAAGAAAATTGATGTATAGACATTTGGTCAGGAACCAAATAACCCTTGTTACCTCTAAAAGAAAAAATATATTAATTAACAGAATAATAATGCTGTTTTCATTTAATAGTTATTACCTCTTGATCTGAAAGTAAGAAATCATCCAAAACTGGACCATTACTGTGAACTTCCTGATTCCTGATCGAGGTGCTATACCATTTCGGTAATCCAACAGTCTAGAAACAAAATTCAAAATGATTTTACAAAAACACCATTAATTTATTCAAAAACGGACTAGAAAAAATATCATATACTTACAGAAAGAATATAACTAAGATCAAGATGCTGAGTCTTCATCAATGAAATATCTCGAGGTCTTAGCAATTCTGTGTATCCAATTACATCATCCAGTTTCTCATAACCCAGTTGAGCCAACATGCCTCTTACCTGGCAAAAGATTATTGACCAACAGGAACAAAAACTATTTTTATAATCCTTAATGAGTTCAAAAAGTTAGGAGCCATTAACTATCAAATCACACTGGATTAGCATATAAAATATCCAACTATTTAAGATAACTCACGTGAAACTCTACATGGATATGAATTTAGGAGCATTGCTTTCACATTGACTGATCTTAGTTGGAAAAATTGTTGCATTTTTAACTTGACTTTATTATGTTGGGTCATAAAAGAATTCATTATCATCTTAACATTCCTAGTTTTGCTTCTATAATAAATAAATTTACGTTTCTTTTTTAAATATATATATATAAGTAATGGGAATATTCGTTTCAGAACTTTTTAAAGGGGTGAATGTTCTAGATCTAGAAGCATCACGTAGGAGGGTTTGATGTACAACAGGTCATGAGCTCAATCCTGGTGAGAAATTGGTTATATATCAGTTCAGAATCCAACATCAGGTAGGAGGGACGGACATGTAACTTTTCGTAAACTCAAAGATACTAGAATTCCATGAAACTTCAAATAATAAAGTTGAAGCATCTTGAAAGAAAATCTCATTAATCATATGGAACATAAGAATGTACATCACCTCTTCTGCAACAAATAAAAAGTAATTGACAAGGTCACCGGGCACACCAGGAAAGCGAGCTCTTAATTCTTCTCTCTGAGGAAAATTCAATGAGAGATGTTATCAAATGAAAAGAAAAAAGTTCTGACATTTGAAGGTCAAAAATAAAAATAAAATTTCATCACCTGACTAGCAACACCAACAGGACAATTATTTGTGTGGCAGATACGAGCCATAACACAGCCAGTAGCAATCATAGCGATGGAACCAAATCCATACTCATCAGCACCCATTATTGCAGCCATTAAGACATCAAAACCACTTTTAAAGCCACCATCTACCCTGAGAATGACCCTTTCTCTGAGCCCATTTTGAATGAGAGTCTATAACCCCACCCCAAACAGGAAAACGAACGAAGGGAAAACAGAAGTTAGATTGATTTCAATGCACGAAATATGAAAATGAAGAGTATTCCATGCTTGAAGTGTATAAAAAGAACCTGGTGTGTTTCTGTAACCCCAAGTTCCCAAGGACCACCTGCGTGCTTGATAGAACTCACAGGGCTAGCTCCAGTTCCCCCATCATGCCCGGATATCTGCAAACGAGGCAAAACATATAACTAAATGTTGTTAACCATATCCTACTAAAGACTGAAAGGTCCACTCATGATTGACGGTTCTCAAGAAAACTGTCTGCCATACAAAGAAACTGTGCAATGTTTTTATTATTTCCAGATAATTTGTACAGGATTTGCATTTCAAGGAAAGGTCCACGGATGAATGACGGTTCTCAAGAAAACTCTATCTGCCATACAAAAAAACTGTGTAATGTTTTTATTATTTGCAGATAATTTGTACAGGATTTGCATTTCAAGAAATGGCATCATACAAGCTGACAAATATATAGCATTTGAAAAAAAAAAAAAAAAGGATGTCTACCATAAAGCATAAAACCGGTAGTAAAACAAAGTGCACATTCGAATTGAGACCCCAAAAAAAAAAAGAAGAGTAAAGTAAAATATGAGGCTTAACAGAAAATTTTCTTTGGGTCTTCTATTAGATGGATAAGATCAATTTTGCAACTTTAACTTCAGAATGGAACATTGATGGATGATAATTGATGTGCACCTGTATAATATCAGCATTACCCTTTGCAACTCCAGATGCCACTGTGCCAATGCCAGCTTCTGCCACAAGCTTTACAGATACTTTAGCCTTAGGATTGACCTATTCATTGATAGCAGCGTGAACGTCATAGTGCTGGCAAATAGATATTTTACGAGTATAAGAAGAACAAACTTGTTGCAAAATCTTCACCTGATGAAGGTCAAAAATCAATTGAGCAAGATCTTCAATGGAATAAATATCATGGTGTGGGGGTGGAGATATAAGAGGGACACCAGGCTTTGAATTTCTTAGTCTTGCGATATAAGTACTAACTTTTTTCCCTGGAAGTTGGCCACCTTCACCGGGTTTTGCACCTTGAGCAATTTTGATTTCTAGTTGATCTGCATTAGCCAAGAACGTTGGAGTGACACCAAAGCGCCCAGAAGCAACCTGAAAAATGAAATTCAGTAACCACGATAATTTTTGTCATTCATTAGAGTTGCGTTTTTGGGGTGTTGAAGTATATTTTTATTGATAGGTTAAAAGAATATATACAATACAAGAAATTACAACCATGGTCCCTAACAATAACAAATATTACAAGTAAGTACAATTATATTTCAACTCTCCCCCTCAAGTTGGTGCATAGATATCGCGCATGCCCAATTTGGATAACATTGTATGAAATGGACCGCTAGCAACTCCATTTGTCATTACATCGGCCAGTTGTTCTCCCCTCTTGATGTATGGAACCTCTATAATTTTGGAGTCGAGATTATCTTTGATGTAGTTCCTATCAAGTTCAACATGCTTTGTTCTATCATGTTGCACAGGGTTATTTGCGATTTTAATGGCGGCAGTGTTATCACAAAAAAGTAACATAGGCTTGTCCGGACCAAAGCCAAGTTCACTCAGGAGAAGTTTTAGCCATGTGAGCTCGGTAGTTGCATGATGCAATGCACGATATTCCGCCTCAGCACTGGATAATGAGACTACATTCTGTTTTTTACTCCTCCAAGTCACAAGATTACCCCCAACAAATGATACATAACCTGATGTGGATTTTCTGTCCAATCTCGATCCAGCAAAATCAGAATCCGTATAGCCCATAATATCTAGATGCCCCTCTTTTGAGTACAGAATACCCTTGCCTGGAGAGGACTTTAGATATGCCAATAGCTGATTAACTGCACTCATATGCTGCTCACTGGGGTTATGCATGAATTGACTCACAACGCTAACTGCATATGACAAATCCGATCTCGTGTGGGTTAGATAAATCAACTTCCCCACCAATCTCTGATATCTCTCTTTGTTTGTGGGAATCTGGTCAGGATAGATAGATAGACCATGATTTACCTCAATGGGTGTGTCAACAGGGACACAAGCCGACATACCAGTTTCTGCTAGGAGGTCAAGGACATACTTGCGTTGGGATAGGATAAGTTCTTGCTGAGACCGTGATACCTCAATGCCCAAGAAATACTTCAAGGTACCTAAGTCCTTCATTTCAAACTCCTCTGTCAAATGGCTTCGGAGTTTCTCAATCTCACTAGGATTACTGCCCGTAACAATCATATCATCCACATACACAATAAGTATAGTAATATCATGACCATCTCTCTTATAAAATAGAGTATAATCAGCCAAGGCCTGTTTAAAACCATACCTTTTCATTGAACAACTCAATCTTCCAAACCACGCCCTTGGTGATTGTTTTAGCCCATACAAGGCTTTCTTCAACTTACACACATTACCCTCTGGAGGAGTAAAACCAGGAGGAGGATCCATATACACTTCCTCTGTCAGATCACCATGAAGGAATGCATTTTTAACATCAAATTGCCTCAATGGCCAATCAAGATTGACTGCTAGAGATAGGATGACTCTAACAGTATTCATCTTAGCTACTGGGGCAAACGTTTCCTGGTAGTCAATTCCATA